GGTCACAGCATGCTCCACAATGGCAGAATTTTTCTCGCATTCTGCCTTTACAACCCCAGGGTCTTTCGTCCGTCTCCGACCTCTGCCGACTTGCAGTTGACCCCTTTCTCTAGCATCAGCGTTCTATATATATAAATATATGCTTATCACTACTGCTAGCTTATCATTTAGCGACTACGAGCTTCCATTCGTTACAAAAAGCTGATCGTTTGCCTTTTTCATGAGCAATACTTTTTTATTCAATGAGAGTGATATGATTCTGTTTATAGTACAGATTACCCATGTCATGAACGAATGTTCTGTTGCTTTACCTTTGGTTGTTTTTGTTGTCGCGTCATTTTGACTCGTGGGATAGCAGCTTCCCAGTGATTCTTACTCTTCACTTTTTGCACAGTCTTCAAAAGTAGATTCAAAGTTGGAAATATGATAGATGTTTCAGTGTTATTAGAGATCTCGATCGCATGATGTTCTTTTGTCAAGGTCCAGGTCTTTATACTTCGAGCATTTTAGTGGCATTTAAATTACTTAAATATTTTTTGAACTGACGATCATAAATAAATTGCATTTCAGTATTTGTAGAATCAATCTCAGTTGTGGTCTCTGTGTCCGTAATAAAAGTAGATCATGACAAAGCTATCCTTCTTCATTCCTATCCTTGTGAAGCTTTCAGGCACCAGTATTCCTTCGAGGAAACCCATTTTCTGCCGCTTGCGTTTAGAGTTACACTCCTTCGGTCCAAATTCGTCACTCACGACCATTGGTGAAGGTAGTGCTTATACAGACTTCAAGATAGATAACTTTACATTGCTCCCAACTTCCTGCCACGTCATCACTAACTGGTTTAGCTTCAATGTAACTGGATCATTTGACATGTGTTGTTTCCACGTCCAATCAGTGACCACTCCTGAATACTGCATTCACATACTTGAACATCTCTGCTTGACTTGGTTGCACTTAAGCAGCGTTGGCGACCCCTCCCGAAAGGTTACAGTACGTAGCTCTATACATACTGGACACGCGACAAAGCACAGGGATAGTCGTGTTATGGTAGCCCGTCTATAGGTAGAGAAATGCTGCAAAAAATTCTAATAACAATACTTCTTTTCGTTCTAAGCTAATTAAGTAATTATATTAAAAAAATGATTACTGCCTTATTCAAAGACTAAAAGTGGGCTGAAAGTGGCTTAGTGGATTCTCTTATTACTTTATTTCTTAAAATTGGAGGATACAAACAGCTTTCATTCATTTACTATCATTTTTACTTTCTGGTCTTTCCGTATTTCATGAAGCCTTTTCGAAAGTCACTGACGCGAGCTCGCTGCCTGTCTTACTTTCACATCATGAACATCACAGTCGCTATCTAGGATTAAAATAAAATAAGGATATTTCAAACAGTAAAATAACAAGATACTTTGAACCTCCTCCCTAACCGTACTGCTTCACTAAAAGCCTTGACAACGGGTCACGACGGAAGCTCTCCAGACTTTCCATTCTTGCCCGAATTTGAACACCTACTCCATTAGCTGCTCCACTGTACCTCTTTCATTGTCACTGAGCATAGCATCATTGCTTACATGCTCAAGACTTAATAGAGCATTACAACCTACCTTGTGCTATATGGTCACTTCCAGCAGATTGTAGATCTTGTACGTATTTATTCTAATTTTGCAGAGCTTCTTCACTGAATTTCTCTTTGGACATTTATCTATTATGACAATCATCTTTGGGTTTTCTACCACTTCATCATCTTTTCCTCTGTAGCCTTTTATACAAACAAATCAATCGCAACCTTGACAATGAGCTGAATTAAGGCTGCCAAGAAGTCAAGTACCACCTGGACAAATGAAGGCTATTTAACTGCTCAATTTGTTTTAAAGAAAACGAACAACATATTGCCTGCCTAGTAAATCTACAACCTCTTCGATGTAGTCAACGGCTTCACAGTGTCCTCAATTTTTCAATGATTATTCGGTCGCAGACAGTTTTAGTACTAAAATGAAGGCGGCTCGTGGCCTCTTGACTCAAAGCGGCTGGGATGATGTTGCACTTGATCGATGTTTACGTTAGTTCAGTGGACAGAAGCACCACTGCCGCTGAAAATCGACAATGAGGTGCATGCAGTTCACTCAAGTCAAACTACGATTCTCATTACGATTGATGACTATGAGTTGTATACCTGTTCTATAACAAATACAGTAAACAACATGTTGTCAACGTAATGCAAAGTGACAGAATACGAAGTTGTGTTAAGTGCATATTTTACCCCTCAGAGGGGTAATTTGCTCATACAAGCAGGGACCAGTAATACATGAACAATATTTCATCATCCCTAAGCCTATCCCAAGTGCCTGTAACGACAACTTTAGGACTAGGCTAAGAGTAAGCCGATACCACACATTGCCGGTCTGGACTAAACAGCTTCAATCCGTGCAGATGTGAAAAAAACCGCTAATCTAGTTCAGTCTATGTCGATATTGACGGATCACCAGTTTTGACGGCAACTTTTGTAATTAGCTTTGTATTTGGCTACAAGGTAGATGAAGACCATCATAAAATGGGCGCAGAAATAGCGACAGAAGAAACATGACCACCGATGTGAATTGATGTTGTCCATTCACTGAGGCACTAAAGGTAAACTCATCATAACTGGACGGAGTAAGTCACTGCACGTCTTGCCTACGACCGAAGCATGCGAGCAATTTAGGCAAATCCGATGAAAGTCCTAACTAAGGAAAGAAACCTGACCGTACTCTGAGGGGTTGTCTGCGGTACTCTTTAAACCCTTGACTTGACATACTCGTAAATTCGTCAGCGTATGTATTTCATGCCTCAGGTTCAAATATCTGTGCAAAAGCTGGTTTGCACGCGTTACAACCGAACGCGTATTCTGTAAGTGC